TCTCCAAAAAGCCCTGCCCGGCGTCTGCCGATGGGCGCAGACGAGGCGGTCGCTCGCCTTGCCGTCCTGCTCCTCTCGGCTCAGACCGGCGCAGCGTCGGCAACGAACGGAGGAGAAAGAAACGCTGACTCTGCTCACATCCTGCGTCTGGTTTCTGATTTTTACGCGTGAGAGGATACGCCGGCGGCGCGAGCACAGCGTGCGTGTTCGCTGAACGCTTGGTTTCTTGGCTTTCCCCGGTTTTTATTTGTTGGTAATGTGACTGTGTAGCCAGATTCTGTGTCGCTGCGGTGCTGCCCCTGCCTTCCAGTCTGCTTTTCAGGTTTGTCATCTGTATAGCTGCCGGGAAAATCGCTTCCTGGGAATTACCTCCAGGACTGCGATGCTGACTAAGCCGTTTGCAGCCGATTAGCTCATTTGAGTGCCGACCACCGCTACGTTTGCTGCGGAGCAGGTGTCTAGATATGAAAGTTTTTCACGTGAAGATGTTTCCCCCCTAGCAGGAGTGAGACGCTGCCTGAAAGCAGACCAGCCGTGTAGCGCCGGGCGGAGAGCTGCCAGCGGCTGGGGGGGGTTGCAGAGGAACGTGGGTGGGAAAATGCTCCTGGAGAGCAGACGGGAAGAAACTACGGTGGCATTAGCACTGATCAAAATTTCCAGCTGGCTGCCTGTTTCTCCACTGAAACTAGCCACGGGGTGCTGGGAGAGGCGGGGAAGGTCAGCACCGCAACGCCGGGAAGCCCGGCTGCGCCTGGGCGAACTCTGCTCGCCCTCCGGGTACTGTCGGTCCTCCATAGAGGGGGAGAAGGCAGCGGTGCGAACACTCGGGGGGCCTTTAATCCCGTTCGCTTTCAGAAAAACCGGTGGGCGAGGGCTGAAATGATGCACACGTGGAAGTGGTACAGCGGTGGTACCGAGCGATCTGTGGAGATCCTGAGCTGAGCTCATGTTACACCTCGCCTCGCAATCCCTTTGGCTTGTGATCCCCTTTAGGGAATGTTTTTTGGGGGGGAGGAAGAAGGGAGACCTGACACGGCAGCCTTGCAGGCTGTGCTGGTTTTTGGCGTAGATCTCAGCAATCAGAGCTCATTTACAGATAGGAGAAGTCCTGGTTTTCTGCTGTGCTCTGCAGCATGTGTGCTGTCAAGTTGTCGTAAAAACAAACAGAGCCGCCCGTGGCTTGACGTGAGTAGGGCCGCATTCAATTTTTTTTACAGCTGTGCCGTTTGGTCTAACAAAAGGTACACCTCTCCCCGTAAGTTCTGCCCCTCCTAAAGTGTGTTTGATGTTTGTTTTGTAGCACGAGGTGTACATAACGACCCTTGGGGATACAGAAGCATTAACCCAACTGGTATGTAGTACTATTCACACAAAAAAACATACTTGCTGCTAATATGTGGCTGTATCTGGGGTGGTCTATGGGCACTTCGACACTCGTCACAACACTGCTGCGAAAGACAGGAAGTAAAAAAGGATGAGTATGAGAAAATAAGACTACTCGAAGAATTGAGGTGGGGTGAATCTGTGGTCGGGCCGCTGAGACGAGCGGGCTGGCTCTGGCGAACGGCTGCAAATGCCAAAGCCCTCGAAGCTGGCATCCTACGTGAGCGAGCACACCTGCCGGAGCGTGCCCCTGCCCCGCGGTGCTCCGGCAAAGGGTGCCATCTGCTGATCTCCCGGCACGGCGTCCGGCGTCGGCCCGCGCAGTGCAGACTGCGCCTGGCCGTCCGCGGGGACACCACGACGCACCCCGCCTAAAGCAGCATCCGATGGTGAACGAGGCTGTAGGGCTTGGGAAAGAAGCATCTGTGAATACAGCTGGGCCTTGAGAACTGCACGCGGGGCTGCTCTCGTGGGTCTTTGCGGGTTTGGGTTTAACAACGCGTCCTCGAGGTTTTCATCAAAAAGCAGAAGAATGCGTTCTCCGGGATACGTACGCTTGCATATCCGCATAGAGTTGGGAAAGTCGCGTATCGCACTCTGCTGTGCCGGTTTTCCCATCCTCTGCTGTGACACTGAGCCCGATGTGACTTCGTGTGAAAGGCAGGGGCGCGGCTGCCCTGGCCGTGGAGAGCCGGCCCCGAGGTACCGGTCCTTGCCAGGGCGACGTACAAAGACCGGCTCTAGGCAGAGGCCTTGCCGAGCCGGGTGAAGTGGGCGACCGGGTTTTAAAACATGGTAGTCCCGTGCCGACAGGGCGGTAGGGTTGCGTTGCGTTACGCTTGGTGCCAGTGCACGTTGCAAGTTAGTTGTGGGGTTTCGTCTACGGCGCAACGTTTGGTGTTGGGTTTGAGCGAACTCCACCTCTCCACAGGATGCGTTGTTTCCTCTCTCGGAGATCGAAGAAGCCGAGAAAGGTGACTTCCTGACCTGTGGAAAGTGCGTAGAGTGTCTTACTTCATTTGGAGGAAGGAGGGACGGGCATGTGCCTGTTTGATGTCTCCCTGAATTGTACTGAAAGACCCATCTGTATGTTACAGCTAATTAATTTGCATCCCAGTTATGCATCTCGGCAGATAAAGCTGATGCAGACTAAAATGAATTGCATTATCATGATTAGACTACTAGCAAACAGATTATAAAGGAAAACAAAGGAAAACTCTTCTCTACAGTGCCCTTGACTGTCACAGTTGGCCTTTGTCACCCAGTGCTAGGGCAGCGGGGCTGTCCCAGTTCCTCCACGGTAGGGTTTCAGTGCCAAGCGTTCTGTTTCACAAAGGGTTAAGCAAATAAACAGCGCTGCTGCTGAAGTTTGAAGACAGCCTCTTAAATATTTAATGACAGTCTAAATGTATACATATGTACAATGTGTGTTAAACAAAGGCAGAATTCATGTACAGGCTTAACTGGTTCCAAATAATTACTTTTTGGAAGGTAGTATAAATGACTGTGGATACCAAAAGAAGTGGAGGAATGCGATATTCCAGTAAAGCCAGATGCAGAGAAGAGATTTGCACCAAAATGGGGATCTTTCTAGGAAAGTAAATGACGTCTGTGGTGTGTCCCCTGATCGGCAACAACCCTGCACTTGGAAGGTGGAGAGGGTAGCAGTGATGGTATCCAAAACCATAAGGTCTCGTCGAAAGCTCATTCGAGGAGGCTTTTTGCTCATATCTGTGCAGGATGGCTGAAGTTAATGCTGGTAACGAAACAAAGGGGAAAAGGCAGATGGTGAACAGGGTTGAAGAGAGTAGGATGGAGAAGGGGAAGTGAGCAAAAAATGTGTTTTTGGAGAAATGTGAACTTAGCAATGGAGTACAACCAGTGTAGCGAGGTGTTCTTTAGAGACTTTAGAAGTTTTTTGACCAGTCAGTGGTCAGAAGGCCTGCGTGAACGAGACTGGACTGCGGAAGGCAGGCGAAACACACCTGACCTCCCGAGGTGGGACCAGTTCTGCAGGAGGCGGCTGGAGGCGTGTGGCTGAGGAGCAGCCCATGGAAGGAGCTGTGCAAGGAGCTGCTGGGCACTGGCAGAAGAGGCAGGGAGCAGCAGCAGACTGCGTGCGTCTGCGGCGAGACTTCTCTGCGGGGCACACGGGAGCACCGGGCGGGGTTGTGTGTGTGCGCTCACAGGTGAAAATGCCCAGCTGAGCCCTGTGTGCAGCGGTTTACCTGGTGTGCGCTCGGCCGGCGCAACGTGTGTCGGCCACGGCTGAGCCTCCCGCCCCTGAAAATGCTGTCCTGAGCAGGGGTTACCGCCGTGCGATAAGCACGGGATGGGAAGAAGGATGACTTTTAGCTTTGCTTCCTTCCCACCAGGGTGAAAGACACATATAAAAAACCAGAAGTGGTAGAATTAGGCACGAGGGATGGCTTTGCCACTCACGAGACCGGCACAGAGACGTGTGGTGAGGCTGAGGCATGCCCGTCCAACACGTGATGATAATCTAGAGGCTGCGTACGCGTGTATGTGCATGTTTCGAACAAAGGCGGAATTCTTCTATTTTCAACATACCAAGCTTCGGTGTATTGCATTAAAATAGAAAGGCCACATGTAATCACTTACTGGATTATTTTCAGAACTGTTTAAAAGCCTCCACAAGTCAGCTCCTTCACAGCTATTTAGGACAAGGCTGGGAAATCACCCAGGTTCGGGGTGGCCGTTGTCCTGGACATCTGAACTGAGATGGGAACTAGTCCGTGCATCTTGTATATCACCAGCCTGCATCGGGAGCTTGGATCAAATTCAAGAACTACTGAGAGAGCTTGGGCATTTTCCCAGAGTATCTTGGCTCCTGCAGAGACCTGTCCCCACCAGACTGCTTTTTTATTTTAATATCCATTTTCACGAAACTGGAAAGTTGCCTGTTTTAAAATGCGTTTATTCCAAAGTGCAGTAAGCAGGTAAATAACAAAGTCTTAACATGCGTCTGAGAATACTGGATTTGCTCTGTCGCATTCTTGCTCCTGCTCTCTCTATTGCAAAGTGTCCTCATGTGCCTTTTAAATGCTGATTTAATGCAGGTAGTGCCCAGGGTAGGGTCTCGGGGCTGATGCACCGGTGGGAGCTGGGAGCAGGGCCGACGGGAGCATCCCCG